GGGACAGCCCTGAAGCTGCTCCTGCTGCCTCCTCATGTCCACCTGCCTGCACGGCCTCTCGTCCCTCCAAATACCTGGACAGCACTCGGGTATGTGCCTGGTCTTTCGCTGCATCCCGACGCGTCGCTGCTGTCACCAGGCTGTGGCAGGCAACTCCATCCCAGTCCAGCAAATGGTGAGGGCAAGGGTATGCTGGCAATGGAGCCAGGGCCAGGCAGCAAAGGGCAGCCCAGGGACACAAAAGGCTACGGCCTAACCCCACTCTGAGCTATCTGTCACCCCTCAGAGTGATGGGTTTGGGGTCCAAGCTTGTGCAAGAGAACAAAGCTGAGCACTCCTGTTCCCTCTACATCTGGTGCTGGCCAAGGGACAACCCCGTTTGTCATTTACCCTGCCTGGACCTGCACTCCCCCAACAGCTTGAGCCACAGCCCTGCCCCAGGGCAGGGACTGAAGGAGCACAGCGAAGCCCAAATGCCCCTGTGAAGTGTAAATGTGACCCCAACACGCTGGGACCTGCAACGAGGACCTGCAGGGCAGGTTAAGCAGCAGCAGTGAACTTGGGACAAGTGTCAGGTGGATGATGTCCATCAGCAGCAGAGCTGGGCTGCAAGAGGTGGGGAGCACAGGAAAAGCAGGGATAGTGCTGAGGAGAAGATAGTGTGAGAAGCACAACTCTGAGTCCCAGATGAGGCCGTGACACCGCAGTGCCCTTGGGCACAGAAAGAAAACGGATGGCCAAGAGATGAAAGCTTTGCCCTGGCTCCCTGCACACACCATCCAAGGCTCTATGGGAGGCAGCCACGGCACCTGGGCTCTCTGGACCTGAGCCCACCACCACGCAGGCACAGCCACACTGCTGAGGGTGGAGAGCTGAGGTTCTCAGCCCTGCTGAGACAGGAGCTGCATCTGCTGGGCTTGGATGAATACGTGGAGCTGTGGCTTGTCCCCAGGATAATGAAAAGGGGACTTAGAGAGCAGCTGATGTGTGAGCTCCCTAGGTGAGCAGTCAATGAGAGGAATAGGCTCTAACAGGGAAGGCAGGTCCCAGGAAACACGAAATCTCTTTGGAAGATCAGAAAGGTCAAGGATCATGGGCCAAGAGAGGGAAAGTGGAGGGGGTGGATGCTGTGCTGGCCTCCCCAGGCAGCACTTTCCACCCGAGCTCAGCCGTGTGGTCAGTACCATGGCAGGGAGAGGACCGGGGCAAGCACACATGTTCTGCTGCGGGCTGTTCCCAGCTAGCTATGCACTGGATGACTTTACTGAAGCCCCAAGGACTTCTCCTTCCTCCACCCCGCTCCTTTAGACTCCAAGTGCACCTCAGCTCTCAGCTGTGCAGCCCCTGAAGCTGCCCACACCCTCGTTTTGACCTCTCTCTGCCTGCGAGCATCAGTCCCAGCACGGCTCGGGGAGGAAGGGAGGAGCACGCCAAGGGGGGGAGAAAGCCCCTGACAGCATCAAGCAGCCCCCACTCTCCCTGCAGAATGGGCAGCGGCCATCCCGGGGGGCCCTGCTGCAGCTGGGCTGGTCGCCGGGGCCGGGATCTGCTGCACGCTGCCCTCCCTTCAACATGTGCAGTTCCTGTTTGCTGTGTCTGTACAAGGCAGTGGGAAGTGGGGAATTTACTTACACCTCCCGCTTAACAACCCTGGGAGGCTGGAAGGCTTCAGGCCGCTTTAATTTACAGCCCATCTCTCCAATCTCTCACTCAGCTCGCTGCTGCTTTTCTTCCTCCTTATATTAATGGGAACCAAGGTACCTGCCAACAATAATGGACTTGCTTGTGGGGGTGGCCCCTCCCTCCCGGCACAACTTCTCCCTTCGCCTTGATAGGAATTGCTCAAAATTCAAATGAAAAAAAAAGAAAAAGGAAGAAAAAAGGGTGAAATCTGAAAGGTTTGGGGTGGGTTTGGAAAAGTGAAGCGCAGTGGTTCTGGGCCCGGCGCCAGTAGCCCGAGGGTACACATGTGCACGCTCTCCCAGTAGGGCCTTCAGCAGCCCTGTTTTACAACCACCTCGGCACACACTGCAGAGTTCACGCATATGGCCAGACAGATGTGTCTGGCTTACGTTCAAGGCTGGAAAATGAAGAATTATGGAAGTGAAGGGCCCTGGGCATTAGAGAGGGCGGAGGTGAGGGGGAGGGGAGCCAGGGAGGATTTTTTCCTCTGCTGAGAAATCCTCATCTGGGCTTTTTTGCAAAAAGGAGGTTTGGAGGAAGAGGGGTTGCGAGGAGTGAGGCAGCCAACAGCCAGGCATGTGAGATGGTTCTTAAAGCAACAGTCTGCGCCCAGTCCAACCAGTTTACTTCACCAGCTCCCACTGGGAAACGTGCTCAGCTCAGGCCAAGGGCAGGACAGGATCACCTGTATCCCGTCTGTTTGTCCCCATAACGATGGCAACGCGCTGCAAGCAGCGCTCTGGATGCAGCAGCCACTCACAGACTGTTTTTCCTGCTGCTGGCTCCTGCATGAGCTCTGCTGTTCACGTCCCACCCTCTCCCCTGTCAGCCTGTGCCCCGCTGCACAGGAAAGCTGATTTCTCACTGCCATGGAGCCTCTGCCCCGGGCCAGGGGACAGCTCACTGCTTGGCACACACCGCACTACATCCGGCTGCTATGGGTGTGCTGGCGGCTCCATGGAGAAGCCGGGACCCTTCCTAAGGGTCCCAGAGTCCCCAAAACATCCATCTCAGAGCCTGGAAGGGCAGATCTTACCCTGGGTGGGGACAGACACACTGATTTGGCTCTTCCAAAGGGCCACAGCTAAGCTTGCTGCTGGGTTACACAGAGGCAGCGCACAGCACCTACACCCTGGAAGCTCCAGTGACATCCTGAAGGTCCTGGAGCATGGCAAGGAAGTGGCTGTGCACCACAGGATCAGCCCATGCACCAAAGCAAAGCAGCTCCTCAAAGCCAGCTCACACAGCCCATCCTACCTGAATCTTGTCTTGACGACGCTGCTGCTCAGCTACTTTCCTGGCCAGGGCTTGCTTCTTGGCTCTGAGCTCCTTGATGTCCATCTCTCCTCCACTGCCTTCAGCCTCAGAATCATCTTCAAATGCCTCAATCCTCACATCATCTTCCTTCTTCCAGGAAATGCAGGAAGACAAAAAGAACAGGATATAAGTCAGAAGGGGACTGTGCTTGTTCTGCTCTTCCCCTTCCAGCAGACAAATCCCTGCCAGGCATGGTCCATCACCACTTGATGATGGGTGACTGTTTCTAAACATCCCAAACAAGCAAGCAAAATAAATCATAATAAACATCCAGGAAATGACAAGGTGAGACAGAAGGGAACAGGGCAGGAAAGGCAGCAACCAGGCAGGGCAGGGGCAGCCCTGCTTCAAGCTCTGTTCTAAAATCAAACCCCCTTCCTCACCTTGGAAAACTCTTCCCACAGCCTTGGGTGATGTTTTATAGGCTTCAGTTCTGTAAGACCATGGTATTCCCAGGTTTGTCTGCTTTGCCTGGGTGCTTAGGCTGCATATGCCATAGAGCAAGTGATGCTTCTCCCCAACAACACTGCTTTAACACTGCTGTCTCATCTGGCTCTAGGGATGCAAACTGATCATCTTGACAGGAAACATGGATCCATGAACACAGAGACCAAAGAACCCATTCCCCTTCTCTGTTCTGATCTCTGCATAGACCAGAGAGATTCCAGCACTCATCCCAAAACTTCCAGCTGGGCTGGAGCAGGTGTTTTAGGAGGAGACACTCCAATTTGATTTTAAAGCTCCAACTGATGGAGAAGCCACTGTGTCTTGAGGTCAGTCATTTCAATGGTTAATGACTTCCTCTGTTAACATTTGCATCCTACTTCAAGTCTGCCTTTGCCATGCTCCTGCTGGCCTGGAACCTTTGATGTGATGAACTGAAGGGTCCCTGGTTCTCCAACCTCTTGCCCACACGGGCACATCTGGACCATGCTGCACCTTCACCCCCGCCCAGAGACCCTTCCCTGGGTCTCCCCATCAGGAGGTCTGCAGAGCCTTGTCTGCAGTGCCTGGAGACCCCAAGATAAGCCATGCTGTTCTTACCCCACGTGAAGGCCACACTGGCCTTTCCCTATGCACCCATATCTTTGGGACACAGGAGGATAAAAAAAAGCCAAGGGTTGCAATGGGGCTAGGAAGAGTTTCCAGGTAGCACCTGGACAAAAAGACCTGCTCTGAGCCCCCAGAGGGCTGCAGGGGATGGATCCTGCACAAAAGCATCCCTTGGAGAGGTAAGAGCATCCCTAGACTCCCTGCCCCGTGCAGGCTGCCATAGCATGTGCCATCAGCAGGGACTCATGTAAGAGCTCTTAGTCTTAATTTAGAACAAGCCCAGCACTGCAGAGTCGTGCACTCAATCATTTAACCCAGACCACACGCCTGCCTGGCCACAGAAGCCGTGCACTCTCCTCTTCTTGTGACTTTTTAGCCATGGGAAGGAGGAAGATGGAGCCCTCAGGCTCACTTCCCTTTGCTGGGACAGCCTGGACCACAGAGGATGGGGGATGCTGCCCAGGGGGATGTCAAAAGGGCCTTGGGGAAAAGCATCTGTCGGATGCAGATCTGCTGTGGCGGGGTGGGATCCGCCTGCCCAGGGTGACGGTGGTCACGCTGGCAGGCTGGAAGCTCCCTTGCGACTAGAGCCCAAGGAGGAAGCTCCAGGGTTGCGCAAGGAGCTCACGGAGAGGTTCCCACAGCTGAGCAGAGACTGTGGGGACAGGGCAGGAGGGAGCTATCCTGCACATCATGTCTGTTCACAGCAGAGATTGGAGGGACCAAGCCAACAAAAGGAGTGTTCTGGAGAACAGGACCATCCCTGCCTGGATAGAACCTGAAGATCCCCCTGTATCACATGCTTTTGGTGGTGTCAGCTTGAAAACCTCCCACACCTTCTCCAGAAGAGAACAAGAGTCCAGGTCTCCCACCTTACAGAGACACCTCTTGCTGCCTGGGGTTTTGCTCTGAGCATCAGTGCAAAAAACATCACCTAAAATCTGTGCCCTGTTCAGCCAGAGACGGCTGCTGGGACAAGGAAGCTGCTGAGCACATCCTTGCTCTGGGCTCCTTTGGCTGTCAGCTCCCTGGGGTGCACAGCACCATGGGGCACCCAGACACAAGGTGCTGTTCCTTGCATGGGGTGACATCCGCTCTGGCTCTGCAGTGCCTTGTCCCCAGTGCAAGAAGGGGACACAGAGTGAGCCTGGGCAGCACCGGGGCCACCCAGCTCCCTGCTCCCAACGCCTCTGCCCCTCTCTCCTGTTTCCTTGGCCTTTCCAACTGCAAGATTAAACAGAAGAAAAGAGTCAACCTGCAGAGCGGCTGGCAGGGCCCTTAAACACACACACGGAGCCTGGAGTGAAGCAAGGCCTACAGGAACAAGCAAGGGCAGAAAAACAAGAGTTGAATTCCTTAATCACATCAGGATGTGAGAGGCAGGGGAGGGACGGGGCGCCAATGTCAGCTCTTCCTGTACGTGTTCGGGAGTCTGGAGCTCAGGCCTCCGCCGCAACCAGCTCCACGGCTATAAACTTGATCCTGAAGCTGAACCCTGACACCCCCTCGCCCACCGTGGTGCTGCACGTTATTAAAGCTTCACACACCCCCCCCCGCCTTTGCTTTGGGTATGGAAAAGCAGCATCTGGAACTCATAGCAGCACATGAGATAGAGGCACGCGGGTTGGACTGGCAGGAAAGGGCACGAGGGAAGCACACTCGGGAGACAAGGGCTGTGCACCATTTGTCCCCCCTCTGCCTCCCCCCATCAAATGCAGACCACAGCAGCTATAAATAGCGGGAGCTGCAGGGCAGGCAGGGGCTGGGGCGCGAAAGGGGGGGAAGGCAGAGGCTGGGCCCCACAGGGGGGATTCTTCCTTCACCGAGGCGCGCTCTTCCCGCACGGTACCTGATCTTCCAGTTGTTTTCCCTCTTGGCTTCCCATTTCCTTTCCCATGGCGTCTGGGACGGGTGCCACTGACACATATTTTCCACCCTTGAATGCCAGCAAAGGCTCTTCTTGTCCACAAAGGGCTTCCAGGAAATACTTCAGAACTGTGACCCTCTTGCAGTCGGCTGCAATAACCTACAGGGTGAGGACGAGGGGGTTGGGGAGAGGGAAAGGAAAACAAAGTCAGTGCAAAGGGGACGCAGATGGGCAACGGTCAAGGGGGAAATGTTCGGGGCTAGAAGGCCCTGTGGGATTCAGGCAGCACTGCACAGCACTGCGGAGATGCGTGCTGTGCCCTCTTCTTCTGAACAGGGATGGAAGGAGTTTGCTCACACCTCGTAGCCCGTTGTCCCCAAGGGAAAAGGAGGCAGGCAAAGCCAGGGCACCCAACACTGGTCCCTGTCCTGCCTCCTCTGTGCACCCCGGGGCTGCAGGGCTGCTTAATGGAGGAGAAGTCCAAAGAGAGGTGAAGGATGTGGCCTGTCCCTACTGCTTTGTTTTGGCTCCATCACTAGATTCCCCCCCAAAGCTGGGGAGGATGCAGGTGTGAGAGCAGGCGGTGGGGGCATTTGACAGAAGCCAAGCCCTTCCTTGCCTCCAGCACAACCCCATCCCATGGGTCCACCTCATGGACCAACTGGGGAGCCCCGTCAGGGAGGCTGGGATGGATCTGGCCAGAAGGAAACTCAATAGCTTGGGTAATTATCCAATTTATGAGGCTCTCAAATGGAGTTTCCAGAGTGCGGGAGCCTGGTGCCTCCGTGGCCCCGTCCCTTGTGGCACAGCCGCTGCCGGTGCCTGCACCATGACCGGCCTCCGCTCAGACTCTGTCCCCTATCTGTGGGGTTCTGGACCTGCAGAGCTCTCCTGTGGTGCTTCATCTGACCAGCAGCAGATTTATAGGGAGAAAGTCAGCAAACTGCAGCTAGAAATGCTACACGCTATGGAGACAAAGCCCACGTTGATGCCCGAGTTCCTCCTGCCCCCTCAAACCATTCCGGTTCTGCTCTGCTTGTACAAACAGAGCAAAACACCCATGTCCCGAAGGCTCCCAGGACAGGGATCCCGGAGCTGGGGCGAGGGTCAGACCCCACGGAGGTGCCTCAAGCAGGGATGCTGCCTGCTCTCCCCCTGCGTGCTCACGCTGTGTGATCCCAGTCCCGGCTTGGTGGGGATGGTGCTGTGTGCCCTGGCTGGGGCTGTGCCGGGGAGCAGAGGGCTGGCAGCGTGCACCCGGGTGCCCCGGGCTGCCGTGAGAGGAAACTTCTGCTCTTCCACAACGCTGCCAGTTTCCTCTCTGTGGGCTAATTTTAACCACCACGTCGCTGTGGTGCATGTCACAAACCTGACCCTCCTCTGACCTGAACCTCCCACCCCGGCTACTGAGCAGGACACCAGCACCAGGGACCTGCACCCCCCTGTACCTGCACTGACAGGTGGAGGGGAAGGAGAAGCCCCTTCCTTCCCTGTACAGAGGTGGGTAATATAAAGATGTAGTATTCCAGGGGGAAACAGACCCATAACCACTAAAAAGAGGACAGATGTGAGCAAAGGACAAGGTGATGCAGGCTCAGCAGCCCCAGGAGCAGGTCGGGCTTCTGGGGACCCTCATTCCTGGGAGAACTCTGTGCTGTATGGGACATCCAGCCAGGAGCAATCCCAGCAAGTGTCACCATAGGAACATTCCCATTCTCCTGGCTCTCCTTTAGGAACGATTCTGTGCAGGGGAAAGTCAAGAAGGAAAGAGAACAAGAGCAAAGTGGGAATGGCTGTCATGGGAAACATCCCTCTTGAGAGCTCCAGGCTGCCCTGGCCTGGGGGAAGTGGTAGAAACCTCACTGCTTGCTTCACCCCCAGCTTGACAGGCAAATGCCACAGAGACCTGGCCTGACTCACATGGGGTGGCTTCAGCCCAGGGATTTTCCAGTCTTGGATCTGCAGTTCGCAGTGCCCAGGCTGCTGGGAATGTGCCTGTGCTGTGGGATTCCAGGATGTGCCCAACAGCAGCAACATCTGGGAAGGGGCCGCAGGAACTGCCTGACTAGGCTGGGAAAAGACAGGCACCCCATCCTAACACCATTCCCAAGGAATTTCTCAAGACACCTCTAGAAGTAAAAGCCACCTCATGTAGTTTAGGACCCACGAGGTTCTCATGTATGCATGAAGGGCTGGGCGCTGACACAGCTGCACTGCAGCCTTCTGTACAGCAAAGGCTCAAATCCCACTGTCAGCCCCTCACGGATATTGGGAATGATTAGACATATTGCAGAAGAGCTTCCTTCACCCATAGCTGGGGACAAGGGCAGGTGGGTTTGCTCCTTTCTTCCCTGAAGAAGGAACAAGTAGGAAACACCAGATTTCCTGCCAAGCCAGCACAGCACATGCTTAAATTCAGCTCATCTGCTGGGGAGAAAAGAGCCCAAGTGCAGACCCATGACATAATGCCACAGCAACTCATCTCATGAACACATTTTTCCAGCCCACATGAATGAAAAACAGGGAAGGAGCAAATGCTCTGCACATCCCCATCACGTGCAGCCCCGCTTGAGGAGGATGAGGCCACGGGGCAGCCCCACAGAAGTGACCTGTGACTGGCACCCAGGTCCTCTCTCAAACACCGAAGCAGGACCTTGCGTGCCACAGAGCAACCCACTTCTGTCACAAACTTCCTGTTTTGGAGTGGAAACGTGAGTGCCTGAGATGCCCGGGGCAGTGGGGATGGATGTGAAGGTGCTCTCGTGGTGATCCCCCACTGCTGGAGCAGAGCGTGGTGAGGATGCTGGGAGCTATACCCACCCTTCCCAAAGGAATGATGGAGTCCAGAATGACTTGTCGGTGTCTTTGGTGATGTGGCAGCAGACACCCTGGCCCCAGCAGGGAATACAGCCACCCCCTATATACCCTTCCCCCCTCTGAGCAGTGCAGTGAGACAGCAGGAACTGAAAGCCTGGCTTGGAGTCATGGCTGGGTATTAAAATAGGCCTGACACGCACGCAGCCGCTCTCAAAGGAAAACTGAAACTGAGAATTGCTGAAGTGGTCTGGTGCCCCCGTCCGTGACCCGGGCTCAGTTCCCCAGAGGCAACCGAGGCACCGTGCAGCCCCTCGCCACCGCGGTGCCTCTGGGAGGCACGTGGCTGGGGACCAGGCGTGGGGCAGAGGTGGCTCTGGCTGCAGCAGCCCCGCTCGCCAGCCTCACTTCATCACAGGAGGGGTTTGTAATCTCCTGCTGCATCAGACATGAAACCACCGGCTCCCAGCACCAGCCACCCACCGACACAGGGCTGAGAGGCTCATTAGTGCTCCCACTGCTAATCCCTGGGTCATACATTAACATGCTGATCACTGAGGAAGACGCAGCAGGACATGCATTAACACACACTAAGTGCCTGAAGAGACCCACTGGGCTGCATGAACTGTACCAGCTGCTGTGTTCTTAAAGCCTATTTGCAGTGCCAGTGCCACCAGCACCCTGTGTGTGTCATGTGCCAGCAGCAACCAAGGTCCCCAGGCCTAACGAGGGGTCTCCAGATCCAGTTAATGAAGCCGATCCCCTCTATGGCCTTGGGGTTGTAGATTAAACAGGCTGAAGGGAAAAGCTTCCCCACGAGCTGTGTGCTGGGATGGGATCTCACTCCAACAGCTACAAGCGCTGTGCCCAGGGGGGACATGTGCACATGGTGCTGGCAGGGTGACACCATCAGAACCCAGCCACAGGCTCATTTTGGGTCACAGGCAAGGCTGGAGCTCAGGGGGGAGCAGCCCTGGCCCTGCTGCTTTGCTTTCCTGCTGCTAAGCAAATCACTGTCACACCCACCGCCGCCTTCAATCAACTTTTACAACTTGTTAATTTTACACAGCGTCCTAAAGAGCAAATAACTGTGAGGAGGAATGCAGACTCCTTCAGCTAGGCCAGAGAGCCTCCAGCAGCCAAGCCAGCTGGCCAGGGGAGCCCTGCTCGGCCATGGGGACCTGCAGCATCCCAAGGGGAATTGGTCCAAAGAGGGATGCCCCATAGCAATGTGCTGGTGGTGGTGCGTGAAGGGAACCAGGCAGCTCGAGCTCCACAAGCAAAGGGAGGCAGTGGATTTGGAGAGGGGTTTGCTCAGAGGACAGGCTGCCACTGCCGGCTCTGCATTCCTGTGTGCGAGGGGGAGACACGAGCACATCCTGACAGCTGGATTCAGAAGGGGAAAAGGACATGAGAAGTTTGAGTCATAGCGTGGAGAGATCCCATCCCAGATTCGGAGATGGGAACAGGATAGGACTGGGACTCAGAGCCAAGCTCCAGCAGGATCCAGGATGAGGATAACACTGGTTTTGCCACATCGGTTTAAACACAGCCCAGCTGAACGATGTTGAAAGCAAGTGAGCCCCAAACAGTCTAAACCACGCAGCGTCCACACTGCCCAGCTGAACCATCTGCACTGACCCTGCTAAAACATCCACTCGGGCCATGGCTAAATGCCTCCCAGTGCCCTGTGCTCCCTCCTCCCATCCCTGGGGAGCCAGCTCGGAGGGAGGCCCAGCGTGCAGGAGGAGGAGCGCGGAGGAAAGCACCCACTTTGGTCTCGTCCCTTCTATGTTTTCATCTGACGGGCTTGCACACAAAAGCTGGGCTGGGTTTAACCCTGGACTTAGCACAGCCCAACCTCTCCGGGCTCATTCCCCAGCCCAAGGAGCCCATCACCCTGCCCAGCATTAAATACAGCTTGGAGGGGTTCAGCCACCAGGGTAGGGAGGATGAACACATCCATCACGGCTGGGCAGCAGCGCCCAAAGCAGGATCACAGCCCTGGTTTCTGTAGCTGAGAGCTGGCTTCAGCCACAGCTGCTTCTGCTTTCAACTAACCCCACAGACTCGTTGGAGGCTGCTCCCACGTACCTGCAACTCTGTGTGTGACCTGAGAGAGCAACTGTGGCTTCAGCTGGGACCACATCAAGGCACCGCTGGCTCTGATGTAATCTCTGGTGCATCTCTGATGCATGCCCTAGCTCTGCAGCACCCAGTGCCAGCATGGGCAGCACCTAGCACCACCTAAAGAGCATGCATAGGGAAAGGATCCACCACATCCGTATCTGATGCTCCATTACAGCACAGAGATGCATTAGAAAACACCCAGGGAAGACGAGAGA